CCCCGACCCCCCCCCACTGGAAATGGAAGGCAAATTGAGGGCTTCGGGTTGGGTTGGGGTGGTTTGGTGGGTGGTGAGGTTACGCTGGCCCACGACCTGGGACAACTCCCGAGGATCGCGACCACTCGCGCGGCGACCATCCACTCTCTGGCGCTCTGGCACTCTGCATGGCGCGAAGATGTCGCAGTCTCGCGCCCTCGGGCCGGCGCTCGGCGCGCCAAGAGTGGCCTTTGACGCGATGCCCAGGCAAAATGCAAATCACACACAATCGGGTCGGGCGAAAGGGGGGGATAGCAAAGGGGGGGGTTTGAGAATCAGCTCACGTAGCTGATTTTCCCGGCGCCTCCTGGCGCCAGGAGGCGCCCATGTATCGAGGAATGGGTCCGGCGGCGGGGCCGAAACCAGCTGCATGTAGCTGGTTTCGTAACCCCCCCTTTCCCAAACCCCCCCTTTCGCCCGACCCGACACAAGCGCGCAACCGGCGAGCGCAGCCGCCGCGCTCGCGGGCACGCGTTTCCGGCCGCGGGGTCGGCGGCTACGGCTGCAGGCCGCCCCCGGGCCCCCTGCACCGTCGCCTGGCGCCGTCCCCTCAGAGCTGCGCGGGGGCGCCTGCGCCGCGCACTCACTCCGCCCGCGCGGCGCCTCGCGCGCTCGGGGCCGGCACGCATGACAAGACCTGTCGGGAGGAGCGACAGCGGATGCCCCTGACCCTCTGCCATGGCCAACGCCGATTATACAACTGCGCGCACTCTTTTCTCTGCTTTATTCGAGCCCACAAAGTAGCTCCATCGAAGCCCTCACGTCTGCATTATGCACATTGCTCAAATCGCCATGAGCAATTTAGAGGGCGCAAAAACAACAAGTGGAAGTGCTTCATCGCAAATCTTGCACAGCTACGTAATTTTGTGACTCGCGACCATCGCCCCTCGCGTGCCAGGAACAGCGCGCCGCGATTTCGGCGGGGTGCCATACAGACATACAGGGTGTCTTCAGCCGATTGCTGCGCTTGCAAACATCTCCCTGGCGAAGGACCCAGCCGAATGCAGGTGTGAGTGCCGCAAGGCAGGTGAGAGGAGGGAAGAGGAAGACAAGGGCGCGAAACGTGTGAGCGGTGTGCCGAAAGGGACGGGGCAGCATGTGGACCAAGCCACTGGGGCCTTCGGCGGACCTTCCTATGGGGCCACGAAACGTGTGCGGGTGATTCGGCATGCGGGCCCTGCCACTGAGGCACTTGATGGAGCTTCCTAGGCGGCCACAAAACGTCAGGGATACACATATAAATATACATCCACATATACATGTACATCTATATATACACAAATATACAACTATTTTTATATATATATATATGTATATACATATCGAGAAATACATATGTATGTGTGTGCTTATATATGTATACATAGACATATACAAATACATATCCATATGCAACTACATATACGCATGCATGTAAGAATACGTATGCGAGTGCATATACATATACGTATACACATACATCTGAATATATATAATATATATACATATACCGGTACACTTACCAAAACACATACATGCACATATACATATATTTATGTACATATAAATCTGTATGAACATAAACATAATCGTAAACATATGCTTACACCTACACCTATACCCATACAACTACATACTGTATATCTACATATACATATACATATACATATGCATGGACATGTGTATATACATATGCATATACACATACGCATACATATACATATATATACACATACACGCATACACATATATACACACACGTATACATATAATTACGCATATACATAAAACTATACATGTGTCTATACATATACGAAAATATGCGCACACAGAGGTATACGTACATATACATATATATATATATGTGTGTATACATACATTCATTCACATACATGTGTTAGTATACATATACATGCACATATACATAGACATAGACATACACAGTTTCATGTACATAATCATATACATACACATACACATACACATACACATACACATTACATATACGTATGTGCCGCAGTGGGCAGTTTGTTATGCGGGAGTCCCTACAGGGCCACGAAGCGCGTGAGAGGAGTGCCTAAATCGGCGGGGCAGCATGCAGACCCTGCAAGTGGGCCCCTCGGTGGACCTCCCTAAAAGGCAGCGAAACGTGCGAGGGTGTGCCGAAATGGGCGGAGGCAACGAAAGGAGGGGGAGGATCGATCGGAGGACGAGAAGAAAAATGAGGAGACGCGGGGCGCTGCAGATTCAAAATGTGATAGGAAAAAAATCCACCCTTTTCCCAACGGTCGAGCCCCGACGCCCGAGGCTGGCCTCCAGAGGCCAAACAGCTCTACAAACCGACCGCCTCGACTCTTCTCGAGGCGCCGGACGTTACGGAGGAAGTGCTCGCGGGCCTGGAGGCCCTTGGAGGCCGCCTGGGGGACACCGCTGCGTCCAGGCCGGGGGGACTTCGACGTGCAGACGCGCGCAGCCCCATCTCTATGTAGAACGCCAAGATCTTGCTGAGCGTCCGCACCACCGCATAATGCTTTCCCTGCGGTCCGATCTCGCGGTGGGGCTCCGTGAAGACGGGCTGATACTTGATGATCAGGTCCCGCTCGTGCAGAGGCCTCGGCAACGGAGCCTCCCGTCATCGAGGGTCGCGGGGCGAGATTGCTGGCCGTACCGGGCCCTTGCCGGGCCAACGTGGAGGCCTCCTGACCCATGGGGAAGACGGGGGCCCTCGGAGCATCACCCCTGGTGAGTGGGAAGGATTGGCACGCCCGAGCTGGTTCTGGAAAAGAGGCACGATGTCCAACAGCATACGATATCCCATACCGACAGCGGCATGCGTTGGGCAGCCGACGGTTCTGACTGGCACGGAAAGCGTCCGCGGCGACGCCGACAGCGACTCCTGCTCTAAAGGGGCAGGAACTGCTGTCGGTCTTCGTCCCCATTCTTTCCGTGCCCATTTCGAGGGAGGGAGGGATGTGGGAAGAGGGAAGGAGCGACGACGACAACGACGACGACGACGACGGCGACGACGACAATCCCCCGCGATATTCGGCTGAAGGACCAACCCGCGACCGAAGAATCGGGACGAGCCCGTCCAGAGTCAGGACCAGTGCCGATGGAGGAGAATGCAAGAGGAGTGAGGAGGAGAATAAGGACAAGAGGTTAGGACGCATCTTCGTGGGAACAGCTGAGGGCCATCAAACCCGATTCAGGGGACGTTAAGCCGAACTCACGCACATGTTTTTCACCCGGATACGCCGGAATTATGGCCGATCAGGCGGGAGTTGGTTGAACCCGACCCCGGGGAACGGGGAGGGAGGGAGGGACGGAGGGAGGGAGTTGGCAGGAGGGGGAAGCATTTGTCAAGAGGAGATTGAGAGGGTGGAGGAGGATGAGGGGATTCCGGGGACCTCGGAGATCCGCTGTGAGCTCTGAGTGGCAGGTCGCCAGAGCCAGCCAGAGATTCGGGCGTCACGTCCAGCTGCCCCGCCTCCTCCTCCTCCTTTTCATTTCATTTCGCTAAGCCTGAGGCCCCTCGGAGGCCAGCTGACTACATCACTCCCATCTACGGACTACTGCTCTGCTCTTCCTCCTCCTCCTCCTCCTCCTCCTCCTCCTCCTCCTCCTCCTCCTCCGCGCCCTCCTCCTCCGCCCGCATCCTCCTCCTCCGCCTCCTCCTCCTCGTGATCCTCCTCCAGGGAGCAGAGGATATGTATAGATTTCGTCGCCCGACTCCCCCGAATCAGCTTTCCATACCCGGCCGCATCTTGAGGATCCCTGGAACCGACGCTGCATCCCGGGAGGTCCAAGAGAGGAGGCGGATCCTGCGGCAAACCTCTGGGCACCCTCACCACATGAGCTCCGCTCTTCACTGCGAGAGGCTGCGGCGGGGGCACTAATCTTAGGTCTTAGGTCGGGCATGTCCTCCCACAGGCGAATGTTTACGAAGTTTGAAAAAATATCAAGAAAATATCAACAACAAAAAAGTCAAACAATAATCGGAGATGGTCTCCAGACTACTTGTTGACCATGCTTGAACATTCCTCATGTTGAGGAACATGCCCGAATTAACACTAATCAGGGCCGCAGCGGGGAATCGATGTGCGCAACCAGGCGGCACTCGAACCCGGACTCGACAGCCGACGCGAAACAACCCCCGTCTCACAGCACCGGCCCGATATAACTGAGGGGGCCGTGGTGGGGCTCGTGGGCCCGAAGATCGGCCGAAGACCTCGAGGACCCACTGCCCGCGAGACTGTTTTATTATTCAACGCTACCCAAGTTATCCAGCCTCCTCCTCCTCCTCCTCCTCCTCCTCCTCCTCCTCCTCCCCTCCCTCCACAATTACACAATATGAATACTACTCTCCTCTCTCCCCTGGTGGCGTCCAGGAAATATTCGGCCCCCCTCCGCGTACTGGCTTCTTACACACAGGATTCCTGGGAAACGGGTTTTCGCTCGGGTGCCTTTTTCAATATGATGCTCTCGCTAAAGCGCTGGCCCCATTCTCGGGCTACCGCTCGTTCCGAATCGTGCTCCCGCTGCAGCGCTGGCCTCATTTCCGCGCTTCCGCTCGTTCCGAATCGTGCTCCCGCTGCAGCGCTAGCGTTATTGTTTCCAGCGCCATGCCACGGCATGGTTTTCGGTCCTTCCAAATAGGCCCCAAAATCTAGACAATTGCCCCCTGATAAAAACATCGGAAGTGATGACATTTCGGTGTGGATTCGTTGAGTTTTGGGGCCGCAGAAGCCCCCCACATTGGGACGTCACCACGCCATGCTATGTCATGCTACGCGTTGATCTTGAACACCATGCCATGCCATCAAATACTGTGCCGTCTAATACTATGCCATGTAATGCTACGCCATGCTACGACATCCGATTGTGCGAACAGAGAGGAGATCTACGCCATGATGAGGGATGGGAGGGAGGGGTGGGACGTCAGATATGACGCGAGCACACCTTTCTCGTCCTCCTCCCCTCCCTCCCCTCCCGTTCCCTCCCCCTCCCCCCCTCCCCTCCCTTCCCCTCCCCCTCCCCTCCCGTTCCCTCCCCCTCCCCCCCTCCCCCTCCCCTTTCCCCGGAGATGTCAGCCGCCAGCGCAATCGTTTCGCACTGGGCAGCCCCGCGCATGCCCGCGCGCACCAACACTGCGTACCCCCCTTCGGACTTGCGCAGCCGAGAGGGTCAGGTGCTCCGGGGGGGCAGGGGGGGGGGGGCCGCGCGGGCCAGGGTAACCCAGGCTATCGCGGGACCCTAACAACGAGTGTCTCCTCAGGGCCCCATTGATTCATGGCGGTCTCGACGTCTGCCGGGGCGAGATTGAGGCTCGGGCACCAAGCAATGTCGCAGCGGAAAGTCTATGTACGCAACCAGGCGGTACTCGAACCACGACTCGCCTGACGGAGCGTGCACCCACATGCAGGCGTCGTCCGTCTCCCAGCACTGCCTCGCACCGGGCGCCGGTTGCGCAGGCGAGCGCCTGCTGCTGGCGGAGCGCACAGGGGGGGTGGGGGAAGGGGGAAGGCTTCTTTTCGGGGATGGCAAGAGCCCTTTAGCAAAACGTGGGTTTAGAGAAAAACGACCTCGGGCCCAAATCTGGCGGGCGAAAAGCCTGGAAACTGACGGCCACGGCGCCCTCTCGAGAACCGAAAACGGACAATTCACTAATCGACGTGTCACTA